TTAGAATAACTGAGAGAAAGAAGTGACTGTGCATCTTCAGACTGAGTGCAATTAGGCTCAGAATTCTCAGTCATAATAATGAGGTCTCAGTAGTCAGTAAAGACTTGATAGAAGTCTTCATTCATATTAAGTTCAGAATTCAGTATATTCTTACACTAAAATACACTATGTGAGTGCACTAATTCACAGTCTTATCACTTGTTACAAGTTCAGTGATCTAGAATTTTGAATTTCAGATCTAGAATCTTTTTCTTGAAGATTGTAAGTTGTAGATGAAAGTAATATGCAACTATAGTAGTAGAATCGTTATAAATACTATCTCTTACAAACTTCAATCTCTCAAGATCAGTGCCGTGCTTTCAAATAATATAGTCAGAGAAGTGATACATTAGATCATTTCAGTGATGATCTGCAGCTGAGAGAGTAAGAATTAGATGTGAAGATCTGATATTTTGAATATAAACTTATAACTGACAATATTTTACACCTTAAAAAGAACAGATTTTATGAAGACTGTCTATAAACTGTGTAAGTGAATTCAAAATTGTAGCAGATTATAAAGTATCAGTAGTAAAAGTAGTCTACAGCTTCTCTAGAGTGAGATTCTTAATAAGGGAGTCAGTTTAATTATAGAAAAAGCAGCTCTGACTATTAATCTATCTGCAGAATAGAGAATTGAAAAGAATATATTAAAAACAGCTATAACAGGCAAAGCAGTTATCATGATATTTAAGAAGCAACTATGTATAATCTGTAAGACTAATTATTCTTTATCTAAAAAGAATGAATTCAGCTTCATCTTATGAAAAAAGTATTGAATAGATCTAAGAAAAGAGTAAGTGAGTGTTATTAAACTCACTAAGTAATGTATTACAAACTGAAGACAGAGTGAGATAATCAATCTGTTCTCACTGTGACATTTCAAGTTCATAACAGAGTTACTTAACTTCAGACTGTGAGATTAAAAGATCTGAAATATCAGAGTATTCAGATAAGATATTCAAGTTATCAAGGTTTAAATAATTCTTATTCTCAATAACTGTCAATTTTTGCTTATCAAGCTTATAACAGTGATAAAGTAGTTAAAGAGCTTATACTAAAGTATGCAGTGAGTTCAGAAATCTCGGATTTCTATCAGAATAGAGATGTATATACTTTAGAGAATAATACGAAGTTTCTCTCAGAGAGTGAAATCAGATCAGTCTCAGCACAGATATATAAGATTATATTAGTTTATTAATAGAGCTCAACTCATTGAAACTTATAATCAGGTTCAGTAATTTAAATTGTAATATAATAAAATCAAAGTAGTGACTAGTTAGTAGTATCATATAGAGACAGTTGTTTAAAAAGCTGTAGAAGTGAGCATGATTATTTTACTTGAATAGTGAGCTCATAAGCTACAGAGTTATTACAAAGATATTTTAGATATAGTACTTACTATACTAAGAAGATTGTATGAGAAATGCAGTAACTTTTATATATATTATCAGTAGAAAATGAATCACTGACTTTTTTAATGAGAAGTTAGCATCTAGCTATTCTATATAGATAATAAGTGAATATCTCTCTTCTATTCTATGAGTAAGAATAGTCAGAGTAATATCTCAGCAGTGTCTCACTATTATGAAGAAGTAATCTGCTAATCTTATATAAAAGTAAGATTCTTATATTTATCAATCAGATCTTTCTATATTACATCTGAATACTATCATAAAGTGATTAAAAACCGGTTTAAACAGTCTGTAAGATGAATGAAATCATCCGCAGAGAAGTAATAAGCTGTGTGAAACCGCAACAAGATCTTAACAAAGCTGAGAACGTGACAATTACACTGCATATCTATTCAAGAATAGAGAGATGAAAATGATGAGATCTTTAAGTTATATAGATGATATTGATCTAGTCTACAGTTTAAAAACAATTAAAGAGAATTTAGAAGTAATTGAAAAAGCAGTACAGAAAATCTTTGTTAGAGCAGGTATTAATCTAATTCAATTGGAAATGAACTGAATTGGAATAGATTTCTTGATTGAAATGAAAATAATTCTTCAAAGAAAATGCCTTCTCAACTGTACAGACTATGCTCTCTGATTAAAAATCAATTTTCTTCTTTAAATGTTGAAAAAGTGAATCATGAGAAGTTATCTCTCTGAAGAGAAAAGCTTGAATCTCTTATAGACTTACAAATAAGTGAACTATCAAAAGAGAAAGAATATGAACAGTATTTGAAGAGAATTTCTACAATCAATATAAAAGACTCTATTCTGATTTATTCAGATGACTCAAAAAATGAGAACCTGAATAGATTAGACACAGACATTGCTTATACTGAAGATAATATCAATTTTATCTCAGATTTCTGAAATCTAGGCTGTGAATCTGAAGTCTTTGATGCTGAACTATTTGCAATAGTGAAAGCTTTCAAACTCATAGAAATAAAATCTCATAAAAGAGGAAATAGTTTGAAAGAGACATGAATATTCTCTGATAGTCAAGCTGCTTTAAAAAGACTTAGAAATAGTCAGATTTATAATGATCAAATAAATCTTAAACTGATCTTAAACTCTGTTTTGAAAATTCAAAAGAGAAGAATATCAAAGCTGATAATTCATTTACACTGAGTTCCTGCTCATATGAATATTCATGGCAGTGAATTGACTGATTCAGCTGTAAAAAAGAGTGTAGAATTAAGCAGATCTATTCAAAAGATTATGTCCTGATCTTTTATAAAGAGAAAAATAAAGAAATCTTGTTTAGACAAGTGAAATGAAAGCTGGCAGAAACAAAAGAAGAGTATACATTATTCAAGATTTGAAATAAAACCCAAGTGGAAATCTTGTTCAATTAAATGTAAAAAGAAAATATTCTCATCTATAATACAGCTGAAACTAGAACATGGCTATTTTAAATCTTATATACAAAGATTTAATGATAGATTTGACTCAATAAAATGCTCATTCTGCAATGCAAATGAGAATTCTGAGCATATTATAATACACTGTGTGTTATACAATAGTCTCAGAGTCAGATTGAAAGAGAAGTATAATCTAAATCAATTAAATATGAGATTCTTATTCTCAACTGAGACAGGAATTAAATACTTAATAGACTTTCTATCAGAAACTCAAGCAGCTACAAGAAAATGGCTAAATTCAGAATTATCTGAATATGAAGAGGAGGAAATTAACCAGATATAGTCTGTTAAAACAGCTATATACTATCTTTTAATAATTTGTTTTATTACAGTCTCTCTTTACTTTATCTTTTCTCTTCAATTTCTTTCTATCTATCTATTTAATGTGTCTATCTTTAAGACTGTGTTCTATTTCTCTTTTCCTTTGTCATGATATTGTCAAATGATTTCAAAGTATCAGAAGATGTTAAAACACTGCAATTTGTAAACAGTTTTTGTATTCTGAGCTGAAATTTTCTGATTTTGCATATCTGAAATTGATGAATGTATAATAGTTAACTTTACAGATATAGGAAAAACCCTGAGAACTAAAATTTCTCAGGTAGATGTCATAGTCTCTGACTGCATACATCTATAATTGAAGAATAATAATAATAATAATCTAATTCAATTTAATATGAATAAAACTGAGTTAATTCACTTTTTTCTCAGATTCAATGAGAAAAAAGTAAGTCTAACTCTTTTGAATAAAGAGATTAAACTCAGTTTGAATGTTAAATAACTAGAAGTATAATTAAACTTCAAGTTGAATTTTAAATATTATATTTAACAAAGAATTATCAAGACAGAGAGACTACTGAATAGTATAATTAAACTATTAAATACAGAGAGAGATCTATTCTTTCAGACTATAAGATAGTTATACATAGTTTGTATCATCTTAGTTGCTAATTATAAAGTTTAAGTTTGATGAAATAATTAAGAAAATTTCACTGAACTCTTTTAAAGTCTGTAAAACAGAGCTTTAAGAAGAATTCTGAGAGTATTTAAATCATCTTTTATTAAAGTAATGAAAATTAAAGCTTCAATTTCTTCTTCTACTATTTAATTTGAAAAGATCTGTATGAACTATGCTCTGAGAGTCATGAAGATAAGCTTAAATTATATAATTAAAAAAAAGTCTCTTTTTCATTTTCATTAATTAACTTAGAAAATGAACTGAATTGAAATAGATTTCTTAATTAAAATGAGAATAATTCTTCAAAGAAAATGCTCTCTTAACTATACAGACTATATTCACTGATTAAAAATTAATTTTCTTTATTAAATATTAAGAAAATTGATTATGAGAAGATATCTCTCTGAAGAAAAAAGCTGAAATCTTTTATAGACTTATAAATAACTGAATTATCTAAAGACAGAGAATATAAGCAGTATTTAAAGAAGATCTTTATAATTAATATAAATGACTCTATTCTGGTTTACTCAGATGACTTAAAAAATAAGAGTTTAAACAGATTAGATACAGACATTATTTATACTGAAGATAATATCAATTTCATCACAGATTTCTGAAATTTAGACTGTGAATCTGAAGTCTTTGATACTGAACTATTTATAAAAGTAAAAGCTTTCAAACTTATTAAGATAAAATCTTATAAAAGAGAAAAGAGCTTGAAAGATATATAAATATTTTTTAATAGTTAAGCTACTTTGAAAAGACTTAGAAATAGTCAGATTTATAATAATTAAATAAATCTTGAACTGATTTTAAATTCTGTTATAAAGATTTAAAAGAGAAGAATATTAAAACTAATAATTTATCTATACTAAGTTCCTGCTTATATGAATATTCATGATAATGAATTGACTGATTCAGTGATAAAAAACAGTTCAGAACTAAGCAGATCTATTCAAAAATCAGTGTTCTGATCTTTTATAAAGAGAAAGATAAAAGAATCTTATTTAAATAAGTGAAATGAAAGCTGATAGAAGTAAAAGAAGAGCATACATTATTCAAGAATTGAGATAAAACTCAAGTGAAAATCTTGTTCAATTAAATGTAAAATGAAAATATTCTCATCTATAATTCAGCTGAAACTAGAACATGATTATTTCAAATCTTATATACAAAGATTTGATAATAGATTTGATTCAATAGAATGCTTATTCTGCAATACAAATGAAAATCCTGAGTATATTGTAATGCATTGTGCATTATACAATAGTCTCAGAGCCAGATTGAAGAAGAAGTATGATGTAAATCAATTAAATATGAGGTTCTTATTCTCAACTGAGACAGGAATTAAATACTTAATATCCCCGACCCCTGGCACTAGGTCTGAGTTCCATGTGACCCTATTCCACATTTTCATCAATGGGTGTGATAGCGCTTGATCTTTGTTGAGTACTTGGTCTCAATGGTTTCAACCTTATCATCGTCATCGACAAGGCGGTCGCTAGGAAGCATGACAGCGCGATCCAGTTGGGATGGTAAACCGCGATGGCGGCCGCGTAGCATCATAGCGCAGACCACTAATTTGCTAAAGACGCTGAACTGTCCGGATAGAGAGGTGTTGACGCTGGGATGACCTAAACTGAGGCCGACATTTCCACTTGAGAGGAATGTTAGTGGGAGAAACGGGGAATATACGTGGTGTTTTTCTCGAGAAGGGAGAATGATGAGAGAAGGGGGAGGGGTGGGGAATATACTTACTAGCCAGACGTCACTTCGAAAAAGATCGCGAAAACAGAGAATGCCTGTCATAGATTAGCTTGGAGCCGTTTCAAAGGAAGGAGGTCAATATGGGAAATGAGATATTGAGAAAGATTAAGGAGAAATTGAGAACTAGACAGGGGAAAAGCAAAATATATCTCACCGGCTCATTAGGATCCATGATCTTCTTCGATTCAGAAGCGCAGATGCAAAAGACACCAAGGAAAATATACCACAAATCAAACGTCAGTTGGTTCTTTATATGAGCCAAGATGTAAGTTTTGCCGTTATATTCGTCTAAGTCGCGATCCTGTGGGTATATCCCTAGCGCCCGCTGTTCATACGTATTGGACGCCCGTATTGAGAGTGCGATGGGAAGGATGGCGACATACATCATCACTAATATACTGACTTGAACAGCGGGGTTCACCTTCGCCAAGTTGAATGGCGAGGTTCCAGTATGTCGAGTGGATGCGGCTTGGAATAGTGAAGCCAGAATTCGCTTTCCAATTGGTAAATCGTTCACAGCTGGATTGTCGAGGTCCAGAGTAATGATCAGAACTATGTCCACGAAGTTAAGTACAAAAAGACCCGAAAAAAGAGCCCAGGTCGTCCCACTCGGGAAAAGGAGGGTGTAACATCTACGTGGATGCTTTAAAAGGAAATTGAGCGGCTCCTTCAGTGATGATGTTTTCGGGACTATTAATGACATCGTCCAGATAATAAAGCGGAGAAAACAGGGGTAAAATGTGTTTCCGACATAAGCAAGGAAGCTCATGAGTATCATAGGCCATTCCGCGTCCCGAAAGGAGACCATCGAGTCTGGAGTGAGTGTGAATCCAAGATTACTTATCATCGTCTGCGAGGAATAAAACGCCCTGGAATTATGTTAGGGGATCTGTTGAAATTTTGCACTTTCAATTGAGGAAGAGCACTCACCACCACACAGGGGACTGTCCACACTCTCTTAGATACTCCCGATATTTCGGGTCTGAATGTAGGATCCAGCCAAGCAGACATATCGCGCCAAAGAGGTGAAGGCCGAAAAAGTAAGCTTTGTTTTGGTCAGGTCGTTTCCTTAGCCAAGAAGAAGAGCGAGGATGGTTTGAGATTTACCAGTGACAATTTTGAGCAATAGTTTCAGGCTACGATACTCGATCCCGCCCAACTTTTCTCGGTCCTCAGCCGTTAAGTTGCGAAACTGAGAATTGCGCCCAAGGGTTGCATGAGAGGACAACGGTAGATCCAAATGCTGAGAAAGGGAAGGTTGAAGCGGAGGTTGTTTATTACTAGTACTTGGCCTCCCCTCCAGCACGAAGATGGATGAAGCGACCTTCTCAAGAGTGCTAGTACTGGCAATGCGAGAGCTACCCATTATCCGGCGACGAGCTGAGAGCGACCTTCTTCTGGCATTTGAATCGTTCGTCTTGGCGATTTCGTCGTCATCACTGAATATTTCATCGACTTCTACCATTGGTCTCCCTATTTTGACATGTCAGTACGTACTTTCTCATTCTTTCGACATTTCTGACGAATTGTCTTACCTCTGTCACGCTCCTGAGGAGGTGGCACATATAAAGCCTTCGATTTATCATAGCCTCTCACATCAGCTGCAAATGATATGCTCGCACCAGTAGGTTTGGTAGGCTGAGCCTGAGATTCATCTGTCTCGTTCGCATTGCCAGGAGTGCTTGTCCTAGATGGAACCGAGTTAACTTGGAACTGACAACAGCACATGCGATCACACGCGTTTTAACTTACGCAGTCGGAGTAGTAGTATCTGGGTTCGCATTGCTGCTAGTATATTTCCTCACATCTTTAGGGGTTTTGAATGCCTTGGCTTCTACATCGTCTCGATGTTGAACCTGAGAAGGAGCTATTCCCAGTTCAGCATTCCTGACAGGTTTTGACTCGGAAAACACCCAAAGTAACAATGGGTCACATTACCGAATTCGTTCAGCCGTTTTTTGAACCAATGTAAACGCACAAGGACTACTGCAATGTTTACGAATCCGAGGTGGGATATAATGGGAATGACATAAATGAACAGTTGCTGATAGGTTTTCAAATCCTTGACATCGTAGCTAGACATGCACATGCACAGTTAGTACTGTACATCAAACCGGGGCTAAATATTCCCGCTAATGACCAGGACAATGGGAGAAGGAGCCTTGTCTCACGTATTAAGTCCGGATTCTGTGCAACCGGAGGCTCCAAAGAAGTATGCGTCGATTGCTTTCAGATTCCCATAAGGATAAAGAACGATCAACGAGGAAATACTGAGGCTGATAATATAAGCGTCTAATCGCTCATCGACATTAGTCCATAAGTTCAGGTTATTTTCCAGTCCCAGGAAATAGGGTCAGTTAACAAACAATGTATGGTGATGAAGTTCAGCGGCGGTTTCCACATGGTGTCTAGGGATGGACGTTGTTCGTCCTCTCTATGCTTTTGGCTGGAGGAAATCGAAGAGAAGAATGGCTAAGACAACAAGGTACGGACGCAGACACAGGCAACGAGTGAAAGAGAGAGGATCCATCCTGGTAATCAGTGATTTATGTCCGCCATGATGGTTGCCCCCCTTGAGGCAGTGCTCTCATTGTATGAGGGATTTTTGGACGAATCGAAGAAAAGGCTAAAGATGATCAGGGGCTTTTTGAGCCGTATCAAATACACAAGGGGAGAGTCATCATAGAGAGCAGTCGAGACTGTGGAGCGCTCGCCTCCATTGACGACATAAGCTGCCCTGGTGTACAGGTGGTTATACCATTTCAAGCATCGCAGTTGATAGTGGCTGAAGGATGCACTGACTTTGCCCATAGCTTGCTACTCTAGTTTGGCAGCTACGTGGCTGCTAATTTTTCCTGTTTCAATATTAGTGGTTCCTGATCAGCACTGTTTTGAGAAGCATTCCTAAACCCATTACGTGGTGGTTCTCTTCACATGGGGTGTGGTAGACTTGTGTGTGTGGATAGGGGGATAAAATGCGACAGCTCCAGCCCTACTAGTGAGTTTTTGCGGGGTTTGAAGTTCGGGTTGAAGTTCTTAGTGGCGGCGAGCAGCAGCAGGATAGTTAGGCGTGGTTGGCGGGCACGGTGCACCATGTGGTGTGGTAGCCACAGGATTCCTACCACCTTGCCCTGGTGTGGCTGAGCCATATATCAATCTTAGAAAATACTCCCCTGAAATGGTCAAAATGGGTCGTGAACTTGCAGATTCAGCAGTGCGTGCAATTGCGTTTCCCCAAGTACCGAAATCGGAGGATAGCAAAAATAATGTATATATATTAAAATTAGCACAGAGTATGAAGCATAAAAGTAAAATACAAAAAAAGAAAGAGAAAATGTCATTATTGCGCTTGCTCCCTCACCGAAACAAAATGGCCTTCTTGAGACGCCATTGCATATGAAACGAGAAAATGACAAGCTAAACCATCCACTCCACCCAGTCCGCCGAACTCCATATGCGAAGGAGGAAAAAAAAAACAAGCAAAGCCAGTCCCCACATCCCCCATTCTGATTTTGAAATATGGCGCTGCTCTCTTGTAATGGTCCAAATGACCTTAACCCAAGCAGCCTAGTGGTGACAAACGGTATCTGAAAAAAGAATGTCCAATTAATTTTCATCTGTGACCCATTTTTTGTCATGGGTTCCACGAATAATTCAATTTCAACGGTGCTCTCAGCCCATCCTCCTTTTCGCTTCTCCACCGGCTTTTCCATTCCCACTCCCGGATGGCTGCTTCGCGGTATGCAACCTGGCATTCACGTGGCAGTTCTGCTAGTATATCAGGGCTGGTGCGAAATATGGGATTGTTCCTGCCAAGCGAAATACTAATTAACCCATTCGAGCCTATATCTTGTACGTCTCCATCTGGGCCAGGGAGACCCAACGATGATTCTGGTGGTGATTCATAGTGTATGTCTTGAATTTCAAAGGTGCGGCTGAAGACGGCAGGGACGGAAGGGAATATTGTGTTTGTGACTTTTGTGGATTCGTCTATTTTAGCCTGTATAGAGAGGTCGTTACGCGGTCGTTCTCTTCCATTGTCAGCTGGGCTTGCTGTTGTGCCATTCGCGACACCAAGGGCAGCTGTTGATGCGCTACTGATGAGCTGTGATCTGTCCGCCCGTGTCGATTCTGGGGGTGGGATGGTTTCCCATCGAACGTGGGTGGGTTGCATGATCTTGGGATACTGCATGGTGTTTGTGTGGATGTCGTATTGACCGTCAAGATTTTCGCGGCGTGCTGCGAGGATAGTAGAATTGAACCGGCTGTGAATGTATTGGTTAGAATCAATTTTGTAGAAGAACGAAATGGATAAATATGGAAGGGCAGCAATTCACCTTGCTTCTCTAGCATGTTCGATCATCCAATTATCCCCCGTTACTAGTACCTTTCGTTTCTTCTGATCTACGCTCTTCCCCATTGGCATGGGTACCGAAGGAGCGCCAGAATGATAAACACTACTTGCTCCATGCCAAGCCACATATCGATTCTTGTCATATGTCTCTCCGGGGCCCGGTAGTCTGTCCTCTGGCACAGCCAGTTCGCCCTCCACGTCGCCTCGTTCCCTGGCAGCTTGCGCCGAATAATCATCAATAACCTTGCGCCCCCCAATAATGATCTTGGCCCCAAACTCGCGGAACACTGATCGCGCCGTAACCACGCCGATCGCGCGCCCTTTGTAAGAATGCGGTATAAGCTCTCTCTCAATCAAATCCCGCTTCGCATCGTCATCAATGATGATCTTAAAAAGAAGCTTATGCTTCTGAAAAAACAGGTAAGAATCGCGAAACCCAATGCAACGCGCCGGCTCCGTCGACAACATGTAGAGTCTCTCCCCTTTATTAAGAATCGTAAACGTCCGCACGCGATATTCGCGACCACCCAGTAGATTGCCCAGCTTATCAACCTTCGTCTCCCCCTCGGGGTCTTCAGGGAGGTCAACCTCGTCGTTGATAACGTCCATCATGTTTCCTTCTTTATCAATTGGGACCTGGGTGACATGGGAGGGGCCTCCTTTGGCTCGTCCCCATCGCCCACCAGCAGACGGGCGACCACGTCCCCTTCGCCGTACGGGAGTGCTAACTTCCGACCGTGCTTCACCAGTTCCGTCATCTGGGGGTCTTATTTTGGGCGGGCGACCAACTCGACCGCGCTTTCTAGGAATAGCAGATACTCGACCTGGGCGGATGGGTGTATCTGGAGTGGTAGGCGAAGGGCGTTCTGATTCTTCTGCTGGTCGCTCTGAGTTGCATTCCGCCTCCTGTACTTCCGTAACGGGAGTTTCATCCTTCTTCTTAGGGGTATCTCCATCGTCATCGCGAGGACTGGGTGCGTTGGACGGGGCATCTGGCATCTCTTCGTCGACTTGTTGCGGCGCGGCGGCTTCTGTAAAATATTGCAGTTGTGAGATGGCCATCATTCACAATCGATTTTTTTCTGTAAACTTTTGGGAAGGGGTAACTGACTCAGCGATTGTGCAGCTGCTTGGGCAGCTGCTCTCTGTTTTCGCGCCATAGTGTTGTTGAGCGCAAGGAGGTATGCTCAACTGTTCGATGTTCGTCCAGGGAGCTCTAATTATTTGCGCGACTGGACTGGAATCTCCGTAGCTTGTTCTTCGTCTCAATGTTGGTGCTTCGGAGCTACCATTTCGCCGAGATAATAATAATCACGTGATCTATACATACAAGGAGTCAACCTCGCATTATCTCAGCATGCTCAGCCTCTCTTCTCAATATTTTCAGATTAGTGTGACCAACTAAACTTCTTTAGACTTCTGCCAAGTCCTGCTAACTTCTGAATCAATAAGAGACTTCACATATACTCATAATCTAATATCTTATAGAGAGTCTGAGAAGAAACAGTTTTATTATATATAAAAAATCAACTTCACTTATATAAAATATTTAATTAATTTTGAAATTATATATCTACTCTAAATATCTATCTAATCATTATTAAACTGATATTTTTTAAATTCTCAGTTATTCTATTATTATTTCTGTTATTTTATAACTTACTATTTCTTCTTATTATATTATAATCATTGATAAAAAACAGTATATCTTTTGAATCTTAAGATACTTAATATCAGATACACTTCAGCTAATATTCTTTATCACTTGAAAATGAATTCTCTCTACAATCACTACAGTCTCTCAATAATATAGATGATAAATATAATATATCAGATATTAACTTAATAGAGCTTGAATCTATTAATACTTCTTCAGAATTCAAGATCACTGATACTAATACTAATACTCTATAAGCTTATTTATAATTGAACTGCTGTGACTTACAGTATCTGTCTATAATATTTTATAACTGATAGAAAAGACAGTCAAAATTATCTTATATTATCAGAATATTATAGTAAAATAGTTAAGAAATGAAGATTTTTATAGAGACTTAAATTCAGAGTTCTAATATCTTGACTTATCAATAATACAGTACTTTTATAAAGTAGTGAAATACACTATATTCAGTATTTTTTAAAATAGAGATATTTAATAATAATTAATATTATACTGTTTTACTTAAATAGAAGCTGAAATATCTTATTAATACTTTCTTTTTTATAAAATTCAATTATAATTCTGATCTGAATATTATTAACTTTCAGACTATTTTTAAGATTATTCAGACTAATATATCAATCTGATTTAATCTACTTACTTCTGTTTTAAAAAATAAATGTATTAATTAAAAGAGCTATAAATAAGACTTAGATAAAATAATAGCTATTAAATAACTATTTATTATTATAAGTATTATATATTACTCTTATTTTTTAAAAAACTTGAACTTCTTTAGCTCTATTCTCTCTGTATATTTTCATAACTCAGAAGTAAAATAATAAGTGATAGAAATTATTTCTGACTTTAAACTCTGTTATAGCTATATAATAAGAAATAGATTGATAATGAAAATTACTAAATAAGAGAAGATATAACTTAATATTCTTAACTTATTAATATTTCTATTTAATATTTCAAACTTCTAGTAATCTCTGATAATATCTGTTATTTTCTAGTATATTCTTTGAACTTCTATTAACTTCTGAGTTAATTATTTGATTAATTCTTACTATTAGATTAAACTTCAACAGCTTGTTAAAGATTCTTAAGTTATTATAGTCTATAATAATATAAACTTTAAGAAGACTATATATAGACTGACTGTGTGACCGTGTCTGGGACCAGGACCAGATTTTTTGATAGTTTCATTACCAATTCAACTGATCTCATTACACAGTTTTAACATTATATAGTAGTTCCATACTGTCCCAGTGAGACTTACTGTCTACTCTTGTCACATTTTCCAAATGGGACCATGATTTCCACTTCTCATTTTAAATTATTTTTATTGCTTTAAATGACTTTAAATCTCATTTGAGCGTTACCAAAAAGCGTTACTTTTTAAAAAATTAAAAATAGTCTAAAAAAAACCTTAAAATGTCTAAAAATAGTAACTTTATGCTAAGAATGGGACTAAATGGGACCAAATGGGACCACTTTCTCATTTTTTTCAAGTCATGGTTTCATTTTAAGATCTGATATATAGTCACTTTACATGTTTTTTTGATAGCCAGTCCCAGCGGGATTCACGCCAAGAAATGTATGGGACCAGACCAAATGGGACCAAACATGAAATTCATGGTCCCAGCGGCCAGTCTAACTATATAAGATAAAATAATCAGATATAATAATTTCATAACTGCTATAATTACTACTGCTATGATTATTTCTCTCAATATTTCAGAAACTAATCTAACTTAAATTATATATAATTTTATAAAACTATTAACACTATAAGAAATTATTGATATATCTGATATAATAGATAATAATAATAAGCTTCAGAAGTAAATAATATTATATCTTATTTTAAATACTATTTAAAAGATTTATAATAATAAGATTAAAAGTGTTTTCA